GATGCCGAGGATGTCTCGAGCGAGAGGGGGGGACCACACCACCAGGGAGACTCCCCTTGCCTCCTCGCACCTCCTCGCCCTGCTGGTGTTGGCGTCGCCTTTCCTTGTTCCCACGCTCGTCGCCGCCCTTCGCTCCGCTGGGCGGGAACTCTTGCCGGGAAAAGGCAGGACTCGAACAAGCTGGAGCTCGGGTAAGCCGACGTTTTTTGTGGCGAGCGCGTCCTGGATATTGACGGTCCAGTTTTTTGTGGGAAGTCTGCAGCGGGAGCTCGCGTCAAATTTCAGATTGGGTCTCGTCATTCTTATGATGGCCCCTGTCAGGCCAACCCGAGTCTCCCGCACCCGAGTCTTACGTCTTCCCGATGCTGGGAAGGCATTCTTGGTGGGCAGAGCAGGCATCTGTCCGCGATCTGGGACGTCTGTCCCGGGGCGGCTGGAAAGTCGATACCCCCCTCTCTCTCACCGCATGGGCGTCCACTTCCCCGCCGCTCCCAGGACAGGCGCCCCCGATCGCAGACGAGTTTGTCTTGTACCGCTCTGCGCCCGCTAACTCTTGCCTTAGGTCGGGCATGTCCTCCTTCCTATAGGCGGGTTGTGTAAGAGAAAATACAACATGTCAAATCATATACAAAACATAGTTGCCAATAGTCGAAACATCGTCCCCAGAGTATGTTTTGTTTTCTTATTTGGTGTTGAAATTCCTCCTGTAGAGGGACATGCCCGACTTGATTCTTGCCAGCCTTGGAGCCCGAAGTTCCCCCCCCGACTTCCACACTCCTCCGCTAGTCTGCCTCTCTGCTGCTCCTTCCGCCCTCCCTCTCCCGCCTGCCTTCCTCCTCACTGCTCATTTCCCTCCTTCCGCCCCCCCTCCTCGCTGCGATTGCATGGACAGCCTCATATGACCTAGTAAAAACATGTGTGTATGAGCGAAAGATCAGAATCACCTGCCGACGTGGCCGTGACGCTTCATCTCGTCCTGCCACTCGTCCTCCTCCGTCCTCGTCCCTCCTCATTGCCCTAGCTGCACAGCATTTCACCAGCGCGTCGCCATTGCTTCGCACGGGATTTCCAACTCGTGCGCCAGCGTTATCGAGTTGTTCGGCCATCTTCCTTTTCCGTTCTTCCTGGTCCTCACTCGTCGTCCTTCTCCTCGCCATCGTCCTCGCCTTCGCCGTCGCCCTCTCGAGAGATGCCTGTTTTTTTGTATCAGTGCGGGCATCCCCGCTGTGCATCCTGAATAGCGAACAGTCATCCGTTGCGATACCTTTTCCCGACGCGAGCATTTGGTAGGGCCGTTTTCTCTTACCTCCTGCTCACCCGCCAACTCCCTTTCCTATGTACGCTAGTGGAAGTCGATTAACCAAGAGGAAGCATGCTGCCAAATACTCAAATACTTTCCAGATGTCTAAAGCATACTTCAAACATGATTCAGCATATGTTAAACACATGTTAGAAACATGTTCAGAACATGTTTTCCACGCATTGTAATCATATGTTTAATTCAATACTCGGATTGTTAGAGTGTCCATTGCTATGGCATGCACAAGTGTACGCAGCGTTATTTTTTTCGTACTGCGCATAACACGATGGGGTTTGTGCTGGAGTGCCAGGTCGGCTATGATACGCGTCTGCAGATAGGTAAGCAATCAGAAGGCGTGGAATTGAAGGAAATCATGTCAGACATGGCGCGAGCTCACTTATCCTGCCCCTCCCCCAGCTCTCCTAACATTCTCCCCCTCTCCCTGATCCTCCTTCCTCTTCGCGATCACCCCCCACCTCCACCTCCCACCCCTGGGCCTCCCCACTTTTTTGGAAACCTGATATACCGATACCAATGCTCCATGGACCTCTCCCATGGTGCGTTCTGACGAGGATTCTGAGGCGAGTCCAGCCGTTGCAACGAGTGCTCCCCCAGAAGGTCTGAGAAAAGGAAATCGAGGTAATGGTATTGTACCTCATGGAAAAAGAGCCCCAGGGAGCCTTGTCCAAGGGGGGTTGTCCCGTGGGGTTGTCCGGATCCCCGCTGGGTTGTCCAAAGCGTTGTCCAGGCCAGGTCGTTTTGTCATGCTGAATCAGCTTGGGATGTCTGGGTTGTCCTGGGGGGTGTCTGGGGATTTTTTGTTGACTGGGTCTTCTTCCATTGATCATAGTCGGTACCTTTCCCCTTCTCTTCCTCCATTGCCCCTCCTCCTCTCCCTCCCTCGTTCCCGCTCGGCGCTTCCCACCTCCCGCGCCGCCGAGGCCTCCGGCATCTGCCACGCCGGGCGCGCAGAGGACACCAGCTGGCCGAAAGCAGCGAGGGCGCGGATGAGGAAAATGAGGCGGAGGAGGACGAGGAGGACGAGGAGGTGAGGTGAGGTGAGGTGGGGTGGGGTGGGGTGGGGTGGGGCGGGGTCAAGTTAGCCAGCTCGAACGAGCCAGAGGGCTCCGTCCACTCCCACCCGCCCACCCACAACATGAGAAGCATGTGCGTCGCATCTTATATCGTGGGCGGCTAGACGTTCAGCTCGCGACATGAGCTGCGTCCGATTCCTGCCGCGTATTGAACAACGTCGACGAGAAACAAGACCGCGCGCGATGTACGCCGCGCCCGGCTCCGGCCTCTCATGTTGCATCGTCGGCGACAACATGTCCAGCGCGCGAAATGCGCCGCGTCTCATTCCAGCCACGCGCGTTGCACCGCCAATCGTTTCGCTCCTGCCGCGCATGGAGGAGGAGGACGAGGAGGAGGAAGAGGAGGAGGAGGGGAGGAGGAAGGGAGGGAGAAACTGGAAGGGAAAAGGATAATGCCTCTTGGGAATTCGCGGAGCGTACCATTCCCGCTACGCGATTCGCAGCGCCGACGTGTCTTTTTCCACTCCTGCGGGGAAGAGGGGGGGGGGCGGGGGGGAAAGATGGTGTGAAGGGGAGGACGGAGGAGGACGAGGGAACGCAAACCCTCCCTCCCCGCCTTGTTTTTCTCCTCTCCTGCGGGGAAGGGGGGGGGGGGGTGTAATAATGGGGTGCAGAGGAGGACGGAGGAGGACGAGGAGAAGGGAAGGATGGGTGGATGGATGGACGGGAGGGAGGGATGCAGAGAGCCCTGGCCGTGTCTTCGCGCACTTGTCGTCAAATCAAAGTGGGGAGGAAGACTTCATGAACATATCAGACCAGGCATGCTGTTCGCCTTCTGCCATGTCGGCCCCTTTTGCGAAGCGCCCACCTGTCAGAAAAACGTTGACTTTGTATGGTTTTTGATCGGTAGGACGCGACCTTAGGGTTACCCAAGCGATGTTCATTCCGTTCCATTCCTGCTACACTGTTCGCAGCGTCGACGGCAAAACATCCAGACTGACGAGAAACAGCGTTGACGTTGCATTGCTTTTCGATAGGTAGGACGCGACCACCCGCTTAGAATTACCCCAGCGATGTTCACTCCGTCATATTCATATTACACGTCTCGCAACTCGACGACATGCTGGCGATAAACAACTACTTTGGAACTGCTGCTTAACACTTAGGATGGCGGGTTTGCTATCGGCCGGCTACGTGGGGGGGGTGGGGGTGTTTAATCATAAGAAGTCAGGGTGAGGTGAAGCGAGGTGAGGGGATGTGAGGCGACGCTAACGAAACCAGGACGCGCGAGTCGAGCCGACGCGACTGGGCGGGCCCGCGGGCCCTCGCCTTTGGAAGGGTTCAGGAAGAAGAGGAGGAGGAGGAGGAGGAGGAGGAGGAGGAGGAGGAGGAGGAGGAGGAGGACGTCCTGGCGGCCTTGGGCTGCCAGCCAACCGCTTTTCCCTCGTCGGCTGCGGGCGCGCGTCGGAGGCGAGCCGCACGGGCGCTACCAGGACGGCTTCGCCCAGCGCCGCCCGCAGCGCCCGCAGTGTCGCGCAGCGCGCACGGCCGCTCGCCGTCCACGCCCTCCCCGAGGCCTGCCGCCCGCGCTCCCGTTGCAGCGGGGGCGCTCGAGGGGCGGTCGGCGCGGGCGCCGCGGCTGGAGATGGGCTCTGTGGCGGGCGTCCGTCGGGCCGCCTTCAGGAGGGGCTCGAGCTCGTCCCGCGCAAGAACCTCTTGCCTTGGTGCCCGTTTGGCCGCAGGAGCTCTGCCAGGTCGGCGATCACCACCTGCTCCTCGCGCCTCTCGGGACAGCTTCCTCGGAGGCCCCCGCGGAGCTCTGGCAGCCTCTTTGCTGACCCCCTTCGCCCGCTTCGCATCGGGCGCGTTTCCTGGGACGCTCTGGGCTGCGCCTGGACGGCCTGCCGCACTGCCTAGAGCGCTGGCGGCCTGCAAGTCTGTTGGAGCGGCTCCTGGTCTGGAGGAGGAGGAGGGGGAGGAGGAGGAGGAGGAGGAGGAGGAGGAGGAGGAGGGAGGAGGAGGGAGGGAGAGGGAGGAGGAGAGGGGAGGAGAAGGAGGGGGAGGAGAGGAGGGGGGGGAGGATGAGGAGGAGGAGGAGAAGGAGGAGGGAAGGAGGGAGGAGGAAGGAGGAAGAGGAGGGGGAGGAGGAGGAGGAGGGAGGAGGAGGACGAGGAGGAGGAAGGGAGGAGGAGGAGGAGGCGCGCCGCCTCGTCAACGCCAAACTCGAGGCTGTGTCCAGCAGCGCCGTCGGCAGTCTCAGCAGCCAGGCGGGCGGCCTTAGCGCGGGTGTGGGCCTCTAGCCACAGGCCTCGGCGAGTGCGGCCTAGGTCATCAAGCAGTGGCGAAGCGTCCCAGCTCGCCTATGCGCCTACCAAATAATGTTCTAAGAACATGTTGTGGCCTGCACGAAATATTATTAGAACAGTTATGGCTGAGCCTGTCTTGTTTTAACACATTGGGCTTATGGTGTAAGAACTTTTGTTCTTAGAACATTATTGCGTTCTATCTCGTGGTAGGCGGCCATAGGACTGTTGGGACGGTCGGTCCCTGCTAAAGGTAAGCTTGCCCCGGCGCCGTCGGCCGCTTGCCGTCGGCCGTCGGGCACACAGCCCTCGGAAGCCTCCGCCTAGGAGAGGCGACCCGCCGCGGTTGCGAAGGAGCCACACCGGATGCCGAGCCAGATGTCGACCGTCGCGTGCAGCCACAGGGTGTGGCCCTCATGCGGCTCACCTCCGCCGACGTGGACGGCTCCCTCGGCGAGGGCGTGGACGTCCGGCCCCACCGCTCGCAGCCCTGCGCACGGTGCCTGAAGCCAAGCCGTGCGGGCCCCGTGCCAGGCCGAGCAACGACACCTCTGGCTGGCAGCCGCCTGCGCCATCCAGCACGTGCGCGGTGCAGAGGACGGCGATGGCTTGCTGCCCGGGAGGCACCAGGCGGGCCCGCCGCGGCTTCCTCTTGGCGGACTGGCCCTCCGCCTCGATGGCGTCGATGGTAGCCCGTAGCAGCCGCCTCCTCACTAGCAGGGCCGTGTGTTCGACGCAAGCGATGCGCCCGCGGGCCTCCGTAGAAAGCCGCACCAGGTTGGCTGCGACCCCAGCGATCGCGTCCGCCACGGCATTGCCCTGCATGACCCAGTAGTCGACCCCGAGGGCTGCGGCCTTCTCGGGGTCCATGTGCGAGAGGACATGGGAGACCACGAACTCGCCGCGCGGCCGTCGCGCGAACTCCTCGCCCATCAGCCGCCACAGGTCGGCGTCCTCGCCGCACGGGGTCTGGTCGTACCTGCCCCACCAGCCCTCGCAGACCGCCAAGTTGTCGGAAACGCAGAGAGTTTGGCCAGCCGACCTCTGAACGGCAAGCAAGAGCGCTCGAAGCTCGCCACGATGCACCGTCTGCGAGTGCCCAGCCAGGCTGCCGAAAAGGGCACGCAGTACACGTGCGCTGCTGACGTCGACCAGCGCGACGGCCAATCCTACTCGCGGAGTCGCGTCCGTCAGGGCCTCCGCCCGCGTCTCTGAAGAGCACGAGGGGGGTAGCCAGGGTGCCTGTGCCAAGGTTCCCGCTGGAGACCGTCGCCGACGAATCAGCGCCGATGCCAGTCCAAGCTTCCCGCTCGAGCGGGATGGGGACCTCGGCCCCAGGAACGCGGAAGGATGTCTCTATAGGCCAAAACAGCCCGCGTTGGCGTCGCACTCGGCGCGCGCTCGTGAAGCGAGGTGCTCGCCGTCGGCGTACGCCTTGCCACCGGTGCTGGCGGGGCACGACCAGCGCCAGTGGCAGCTTGGCTCAACCCCACCGCCGCGCCGGGGGCGCACAGGCCCTCCCCCTGCTCGCCGAAGGCCTCCTGCCTGCGCCGCCGCGGCCAGCAGCCTCCGACGGCGATGGTGGCCATCATCTCCTCGAGGGCATGTCCTCCCGGCAGCCCTCCTCCCTCTCCTCCCTCTCCTCCTCCTCCTCCTCCTCCTCCTCCTCCTCCTCCTCCTCCTCCTCCTCCTCCTCCTCCTCCTCGGCCCCGCGTGCGCAGCAGGCGCTGGTCGGGCGCCACGTCCGCGCCGCCCTCGAGCCCGGCGCCACACCGGTGCTCAGCGGCCTGCCGCCAGAGGCTCTCCTGGGTGGCGTCCGCGCGGTGCCGCTGCCACCCCGATCGGGCCGACGGGGTTCCAGCCGTGCTGCAGTAGCCTGATAGCAGAGCTTGGCAAGGTCTGGATGGAAGAGATGATCAGCGAGCGAAACACGGTATAAAATAAACTTTGCCGCCGTCGGGGACACCTGCCCCTGGGCGGCTGGAAAGTTTATACCCCTACGGTGCCACCGTAAGGGTATAAACTTTCCAGCCGCCCTGGGGCAGGTGTCCCCGACGGCGAAAAAGTTCATGTGGCGGACCCGCTGCCCAGGTTCAACTTCACGCAGGCGAGTGTGGATAGGAATCCCAGCCCTCGCAATCCTCTTGCGCACGGCCTGGCTGCGCTGCCAGGTCGACAACCCGAGGCTGAGCTTCTCGCGGGGCAGCTGGTGCGCGGGATCGCGGCGTCCTGTACGCAGCGCCAGCTGCGAAGTCAGGCAGCGGCCGCGTCGCGCAGCTCCTGAAACGGATCCTGGGCGACGCCGAAACTCCTGGAGCTTGCTGCCGATGGCACCGTAGACCTCGTGGCCGTAGGCCACCGCCTTCTAGACTCCGACTCGTTCGATGTAGCTGCACTTGCTGTATTTCTGAGAAGCTCGAGCCATGCGTCTCAATCGAGGGTGGGGTGGGAAACGCTCGTCTTGGTCATGCGCGCACGAGGAGTCCGAGTCCAGAAGGCGGCGGCATGATGCGAGCACACAGGACCTGAAATAAGTATGTCGGATACCTTGGTACTATAATTCGTTTGGTTTGTGCAGCCGCGTGTTGCCGGCGCCAGGTTTCCCATGCATTTGAGATTGTCCGCGCTGTGCCCCACATTCGATCCCCGAAGCAGCCACGTTGGATGGATACGATTATGTGCGCAAAATGGAGTCTGATATAATTGACCCTCTTTCGGTTTTGATGTGGTCACCGACTGCGCTGCGGACTTGGGCTGCGTCATGCATCTGAGGATTGGGTCCGAGCCCTGGTGACGAATGGCCATGCCGCCGTGGATGGTGCTCTGAATGGAGAGCACAGTGATTTGGAACGACCTGGCTAATTATCAACATGCGGGCTGCTTTGCGAAGCAAGGGGCGGCTCTTTACCCGTTGCCCGACGTCTGATGCAGCTAGAGCTTCAGCTTCCCGCAGAAGACAGAAGATTGCCGGCTGTCCTTTTCCAGCAGAGGTTGGGAGGATTTATGTAGGGTTTCGTCGGCCTGCGATGACTTGGAACGCGATACCCCCAAAGCGTTTCGCTAGACTGAGTGGTTTCACGCGCGAGTGGCGAAAGTGCATGCGCGCTGATTTCCTAGTGCAAGTCTGTTTGGCAACCGTCCAGGCTGTGCTGGAGCTTTCACATAGACGCTGGTCTCGACCAGGCTGCAGCGTCACACTTTCGGCATTCCGGGGCTGATGTTGGGTTTCGTGGGCGGGATGGACAGCGTGGCGTGGGTGATGACGCGCTTGCAGCGTGGAGCACATACCTGGCCAGGCATGCTCTCTCTCGGCGATGCATGCCCAAGCCGCCCTCCCAGTCAGAACCCTGCGGCAGCAGTGGCCGGGGTCCTTGACCGGCTGGTTTCCTGGCCCCCGTGGTGCCATGGCTCCATGGCGTCTGGTCACGCGTCCCCAGCCCTGGCTCGGTCGGTTGCCCTCGTCCGAGTGGCGTTCAGCGTGATCCAGTGTTGGAAGGTTAAGCCGGGCCTGTCCCTCTACAGGAGGAAAATCGAAAAATAGGCAAACAATAATATGGGGACCATGTTTGAGCATGTCTTGAGTAGTTTTGAACATGTTTGGGGTATTTTTAATTGTTGCGCCCAGCAAGCCTGCCCTAATTGTAAGGAGGTGGAGCACGCTGTCTTTGTAGACGGCTTGCGTCTGCGGTGGAGGGAACGGCGGGGCTGTGCCCAGCTTCTCGCGAGATTGGGCGGCACGGCCGACGAAAGCAGGCGAGAAGGCCCCAGGCGGCGTGGCCTGGCGAACTCGCGATGCTGTTCCAAGGGGTGGCGCAGCAAAGGTCCTGGCGCGGAGCGCAGGGATGCGAGGAGGAGCGGGTGGTGGGAGGAGCGGGGGAGACCACTTCGAGGAGAGGTTCTGCAGAGACGGTTGGGGGGACAGGGGGGTGGGGTTTAAGGGGGGGATGCGGGGGGGAGGGGGGGGGGCAGAGGCGAGGCCCAGTGGAGGGCGAGCAGGGGCGAGGTGTTGGAGGGAATGCCAGGGGGGAGACGAGGAGGAGGAGGAGGAGGGAGAGGAGGAGGAGAGGAGCAGCAGCAGCAGCAGCAGCGGCAATATGCCCGAGAAGAGGGGGGGGAAGGGTGGATGGCGAAGGGCCCCGAGCGGGCAGACCGCCGCGTCGGGCTGCTACGGGGCGAGGTGATGGATGGAGGCAGGAGGGCGGAGGCAGTGGAGGCCTCGAGGTTGTACTCAGCGGGAGGGGAATTGGGGATGGAGGCGAGGGGGAGTCCGCTTAGCGTCTGTGCAGGGTCAGGGTATCCCCCTCCCCCCATTATGCACATGGTGCCCCCCCGCACCGCAATTTCGTCTGCACGGAATCCCCCCCGCACACCCACGGCGCATCGCCTGCATGAGATCCCTCTGTTTCCCTCCGTTCTTCCGTGCCGTTTCCCTTTGTCTCTCTTCTGTTAATTGTTTGTTTGTTCTCTTTCTCTCTCTCTCTCTCTCCATATATATATAGATGTATCGCTATCTCTCTCTCTCTGTCTCTCTCCCTTGTGTTCTATATACATGTGTATACAAATGAATGTATGGGTATATGTATACTGAGTATATGATGTGTTGTGTTTATCTCTCTCTCTCTCTCTTGTTCTTCGTCTCGTTTCTTCGAGCAATATGTGTCTCGTCCTCCGTCTCTTTCTCTCTGTCTCTCTCTCTGCCTTTGTCTAGCTCTCCTTCCTCCCTTCGCTCTCGCCCACCTCGGCCCTCTCCTCCCTCCTCGCCCGCCTCCTCCTCCTCCTCCTGCCCTTCCCCGCCAGCTCTCGGGGCGAAGCCCGGACGTTTCGGCCGCCCAGGATGGTGGAGGGGGACGCCTGGATGCAGCTGCGAGCGGTGGCCTCGACGTGCCCCCTCGGCCACAGGCTCCGCCCCTGGCGTGCGCAGGCGGGCACCTGCAACGGCTGCAGGAAGCCGCTCCTCCCCCTCCGCCTCCTCCTCCTCCTCCTCCTCCTCCTCCTCCTCCTCCTCCTCCTCCTCCTCCTCCTCCTCCTCCTCCTCCTCCTCCTCCCCCTCCTCCTCCTCCTCCTCCTCCTCCTCCTCCTCCTCCCTCCTCCTCCATCCTCCTCCTCTGCAGGAAGCTGCTGCCCACGGGGTCGCCTGTCATGGACTGCCGGCCGTGCAACTTCTACCTGTGCGAGGATCGCCTGCTGGTCGGGGGCCCCCAAACGGGGTGGTGACCACCGTGCGGTGAGTCGGTGGGGATTCGGGGTCGCCACACGGTTTTAGGACTCGGGTCGTTCTCCGAGGACGTCCCGGGCGACTGGGGCCTCCGAGGTCCCAAGACCGTGCGGTGGCGGACCGTGCGGTGAGGTCTTGGGGGGTTTCGAGGCCACCGCACGGTCCGTCACCGCATCGTTTCGGGACTCCAGAGCTGGGCGGCCGGATAAGACGGCGCGGGCTTGCCCGGACTGTCCTTGCGCGATGCGGCATTTGATGCCCAAAGTTCGTATGAGCGCGTATCGCCAGCTTGGGCCAGGTTCGAGCGGTGCTACCCGGGCAGTCGGGCTACCTTCATGTTCAGGAGAGGCTCCGTTTTTGGGGCCGCTCATCAGATCTAGGTTGTGAAACCGATTCGTTGCTTTTCTTGGGTCCTTATGGGGCTTTTCTTTATGGTGGCACGATGACTGGTGGCTCTATGGCTATCGTATTGTATTGACCATTTGCGGCCACGGGGGTGCTCTGGTCGATGGGGGGATCGTATGAGGCTCCGCTAGCCAGGTCCCAGGTCTCTGTGAGGCAGGGCCCTGCATCCCATCATGTGGCCCGCTGCGGCGCAGCATTGCCCCAGGACGTATACCCACCGCAGCAGTATACGGATATATATATATATAGAGAGAGAGAGAGAGAGAGAGAGAAAGGGAGAGACCCAAGAAACGACCCTTCTGCAACGCTGGCTCGAGCAGCCGTCTCGTCTCGGGGCCATCCGGGACAGCCCCTCGGCCCGCCGACCGCACTCTCCACCGCCCGCGGGTGGGGTCTCCCCTGCCGGCAGGAGGGGAGGCGGGGAGGGAGGACGAGGAAAACCGCACCGAACAGTCTGGGGAGCGTAAGACCCGGATTTGCCAGGACTCGGGTTCGCCATCGTTTTTTT